GATCGGGGACTCGGCAGTCACCTGCTATTGACTTTGTATGCACAGGTGTCTGTACTGGGTTTAACCCACGCTTGAAAAATATCTGTTATTCCAATCAAATGTCTTGATTGTTTCCTAACGTGTATTTAAGATTTTAAAATGCCTACCGCTGTTAATTCCTATTCATAGTGATTTTACAGGGCAGAGTAGAACCATCCCATAAGGCTTCCAAGCGTGTAATCTTCATGGAAGCCCCCTGCTGTGGCTCTCCTGTTGAGGCACTGGTGGATTTGACTCTTCGTCCTTACATAACAGTGGATCTCTTCACCCTTGTTACCATCAAGCCACCTTTGTGACTAAGCTCTCAAAACTCAACAATTCACTGCCATGGAGTCTATCTGTCTTGTAGTAACCCCCTGCTAAGCCAGAGAGGATGGATTTAATGGTTTGTCTTTGACTTGGTTTGAGTTTGAGTTTTCTTCCCTGAGAACATCGCTTCTAATTTCCTCTGAGACTCTCTTTTTCCCCATCCACTGTGAGGCTTGTTAATGCAAAGGATATTATTTTAGCAATGTCTTTTTCTTCTGTAATGTTGTGTTGGTGGTTGTCCGGAGTGATTTTCTTTGATGTGAATTTTTCCATTGTTGCACTTTTGTGGATCCTGCTATCTGAAGGCTTTCTGTATTTTTTCTCATTTTGTTCTCTTCCCAGAACTTGATAAGTAGGTTATTTGAAGTACTGTATAATGAGGAAAGAGTATGAATTTAATGTTTAAAAGATCTTTAGTTTTTCATCACTTAATTTCAGATTTTGTATGCAGGAAAGAAGTAAAATAAATTACTTTGAGTGGGAATATTTCAGTTATTTATTTTGTGAAAGAAACCACCGAACCCTGGTTCCCTTCCCATAGCAAATAGCTATTTCAATGAAAATAAAATTCGAGAATTCTAAAACAGGCATTCTCACACACATTTGTGTACTAGTGATGAAAGTTGAATGACTTGGGTACAATGCTTAGAGCACTGTAAATAGAAATAGTAAAGCTAGATTAAATATGGCCCAATGCCTTTTTGTATGGCCCATAGGCTAAGGA